GAAAAATAAGAACCAAGAGAGACTATGTAAAGGTGCAGATTTCCAATGATGAATGTCATTATATTTTATACCTAAAATGTACCAATGATTAGAATGAATAATTGAAAATTTGAAATAGGAAGAAAAGGTCCAAAGGGGTAGGGGTAGTGGGAGGGGCAGGGGAAAGGAAAGAAGGGAAAGGAAAAATGCTAAGAAATTGAAAAAAATGGAAATAAAGTCTTTGTAAATAGGGAAGGGTGGAGGGGGTGAAGGGAGGTCTAGGAATGGGGAAAAAGTAAGAACCAAGATGGATTATGTAAAGGTACAATTCCCAATGAGAAATGTAATTGTGTTGTGTACCTACAATGTACCAATAAAAGAATTTAATAAAAAACAAACAAACAAACAAAAAAACCAAATCAGGCCAAAACAAAAACTAAAATACAAAGGGCTGCGGATGTAGTTCAGCAGGAAGGTCTTGGGTTCAATCCTCAATACTGGGGGAAAAAAAAGGAGGAAGAGAAGAGGAAGAAGAAAAGCAGCTATCCTGTACTTACTATAGTTATTAGCATGGTATAAATTAACAAATTATTCCTTCCACAGATGGGCAGAATTCCACTGAGTACATCCATCCATTCATCCATTCATTCATCTGAGTCTGCTATTATCTGGTTTTTTTCATTGTTTTTGTTTGTTTGTTTGTTTGTTTTTGAGACAGGATCTTCCTAGGTAGTACAGGCTGGGCTGGAAGTCACCATATAGCCCAGGCTGGCCTTGAACTCACAGTGATCCTCCCGCTTCAGCCTCCTGAGTGCTGAAATTACAGGTGTGGCCCAGCACACCCAATTAGTCCGCCATTATCTTGACTGGCTCTCTCTCTCTCTCTCTCTCTCTCTCTCTCTCTCTCTCTCTCTCTCTCTCTCCTCTCTCTCTGTCCCTCCCTCTCCCTCTCCCTCCCTCCCTCCCTCCCTCCTTCTCTCTTTGTGTGTCTGTGTCTGTATCTCTTTGGTTGAGCCATCTCTCTTTAAGTAGTAAAAACCTCAAGGAAAAGATCTTCTGCATGTGATTTTAGCTAACAAGGTATTTATTTTCCTCTTATTCCAGCATTCAACCCTGAGGCTCTGATGGTTGGGGATGGTTGGGGATGAGGCTCTAATAGCTTGGGGATGATTGATGGTGCTCAAAGGAATAAAGGAAGATGGGAAGGTCCGATGCAAAGTGGTGTCGATTTCAGCAGGTTTCCTGCTATGTCTTGCACTTTCACTGGGATTCAGTCAAAAGCATATTAGATGTGTGACCCTACAGGGGTGCTTACCTAGGTATCTTGGGAGACCTGTGCATGTACATGGAGCAGAAAGAAGGCTCTATAGTCTATAGTTGCATCTGAGTCTTTCCTAAACAGCACTAGACTCGGATGAGCTACTGGGGGGACAGGAATGGGGAGACAGTCACTTATGCGCAGGATTTCTCTTCTTGCCTCTCCCTGCAGGCTATTCTGAGCCAGGACTGCCCCATGGAGACCCGGATATACACAACCCAGAAGCCCACAGAGGAATTTCCCCTGGGGAAGAATGGAGATGAGGACCCTGACAGTGAGGAGTAGCAGCTGAAGGTGGCCCCTGAGTCAGGTCTTACTGACCCGACGAGGCTTGGACTCCAGGTGGCGCTTCTTCCCTGGAACCAGCTGGAGATGGGCTGCTCAGTGGGCCCCACTGCGAGGTCCTGGGGAATCTTGCCTCCTCTCTCCCAGAGGTGCTGCGCCTCCTACTCTGCTCGCTCACCTGAGCACCCCCTAGCTCTCCCTCGAAGCTTCTCCTGTGGGAGGACAGAGTGATCCCTCCTCCCTGGCTGCTCTGAGGCTGCTAGACTTGAGGCGGGACCAGTTCTGCAAGGGTGACTCACTTTCTGGAGGCTGCAGTGAGCAGGGCACCCCTGAAACTGAGGGGCCACTGCAGACCTTGGCTCCTTTGTTTTCTGATTTTCATTGGCACATTCCCAACATACTGCAAGAGTTTGTCATCTGTTCCCTGGCGCATTCCGCCCTGAGTTTTCCCAGCTGAGTAGAGCAGGTGGCCTCACCATCATGCAGTGCCAACAGGGAGGGGATTTTTTTCTTTTCTTTTCTTTTCTTTTTTTAACAAATTGATTGATTTTTCTGTAGCTAAACCTACTTACTGCTTCTCAAATGACTACTGAAGATGAACAAAGTGTCTTCCTAATTTCATTATCTAGTGAGATTAAAGCAGGTGTTTCTCCTTCACTTGAGTTATGACATCCTCGTGCTTTCCCATCTGTGTTTTTCTATCTTTCCTGAACTTCTCAGACTATTAGAAATAAAAGCAGGTGAAGGGGAGGCTGAAGCAGGAGGACTGTAAATTCGAGCCTAAACAACTTAGTGACTTTGCAAGAACCCATCTGAAAATTAAAAATTAAAAAGTGTAAAAAGGCCTTACGTTCACCTGCCCCTAAAAGTATTCTAATGCACCCAAGATCTCCTGGGAAGAAGGGAAAAGAAGCTGCCATGAAATCTCTCCTAATGTGGATTTCTTAACATGAAGAGCATAATGAGCCATTGTTCACATCTGTTAACGAGAAAGTTGCTATTTAATTCACACAAGGAAACTAGATGCTGTTCTGTAGCAAAAGTGAGTATGAGGGCAAATACTGTAGGTGTCATATTACAACATTTTGCTACAATTTGAAAAGTTATGGGGTGTTGAGCTTTCAGAGAGACAGGAGACAGGGCAGCCACCCTAGGCAGCATCTGGGCAAAGCAGAGACACACAGTATAGGGATAAGCAATACTGCAGGTTGTGTAGACTGCACATTCAAGTACGAGGAGGTGGGGTTGCTCCAGGTCTGGGTTGGGGGTAATGGCAGAGGTGGGGGGGACACAAGATGGGGAGACCCACAGATGCTTATCAGACGGGGTGTTCGGACTTCACCTGGAGTGACACCTGGCTTTGCAGGAGTTTGAAGGATTTGGCACAAAACCCAAATCCCCAGGACACATTTGGGCCAAAGCTCTTGATAAATCCTTACTACCTAGACAACAAAGCCCCAGTTGACTGGTGGATATGTTTTTAGGGGTTGAGCATTAATGACACTCCCTGTCTTTGCAAGATGAGATGCATTTACACTGTTTTTAGTCAAGATGATAGGTGTCTTGGATTGTGAAGGACCGCAAAGATAAAACTGGAAAATTGACCAAATATATAAGCTGTAACAAACAGCTTACGGTGGCGGAGCGGGTGGCCACTAGACCCTTGCACAAAGCTAGAGGGGGCGGGGAGGTGGCAGTGTTGGGAGGGGTCCCAGGGTCAGCTTGTTACGGAAATTGCTAACACATTTAAAGATGCAGGGAGAAATTTTAAAGAGGAACTCATTCCTGACTTGCCAGTTAACATGGAGTCACAAACAAAGATGGATAAGGAAAAAAGTGATGCACATAAGGAACACTTGAACCAAATACTTTCAGATGAGTCGATCCCAAACACCACAGAGTAAGTCAGGCAATCATGTTTAAAGCTGTAGATCAGAAGCAAAGTAAGGACAATGCACGTAGCCTGTGCATGGCAGTGTATATAAAGGAGAATCCCACAAAACAGAACATTAGTCTTTATTAGTGGCCTTATAAGTGATATGAAGAAGAGAATGTGTGACACACTTCCCCCACTCACAGGTCACACGGAGTTCTTCTAAAAATGAAAACGCCAACCCAGCAAGTGTGAGCCCCAAGAAGTTTTCTATAAAAGCAGCATGGAACGGCAGGTGGGCTGCATTGCGGGACAGATGGAGATATCCCTGCAAAAGGCAGGAACACATTCAGGGGGTGATGGGCTCTGAGTTACCAGTTGCAATGGAGTAAAGAAGACAGCGGGATTTTAAAAAGCCAGGAAAATGTTGGACATTCTCCAAGTGCTGGAAACAAACTGGAAGACACCTTCTTCCCCAAGTACAGAGTGTGCTGCTTCCACATTTGGGTTGGAAGCCACAGCACCACGTGTCGGGGCAGCGACCAAGAAGCTGGAGGCGATGCAGAGGAGACAGCTGTGAGGACAATGGGTGACAAGGAGAGATTTCTGGGCAGCAAGGGGGGCAGGACCAGTCTCGTGGGAGACGATGAACGCAGCCAACACCGTTCAGAGGGGCCTGGTCACAGAGCCTCTGCCTACTCCCATGGCTTCTCCCACAGCAGCTGATACTAGTCGGATATTTGAAAACTGCCTCCCATTCTTGTCTCACTTATGGAATCCATTATTCGAGTGAAAGCCCAAGCAGAGAATGATAAATGTTCCAAGAAGATGGAACTCCGTTTCCAGAGGCCTCTGTCATGCTTGGTCCAGGGGCCCTGAGGCTGATGTGAAGAAAGGAATCCAGCCCTCCATGTCCTGTCTCCGGGTGTGCCCGGAGGGGACACGGTGAAAGATTCCTGCGGTCCTTAGATCACCCCTGGGCCCAAGTGCGTTAAGCACTGCCAAGTGCGTTAAGCACTGCCCGTCTGTTAAATTCACCCCTGCAGCCTTGTGAAGAGGAGGAGGAGGAGGAGGAGGACATCCAGGGAGGAGCTGAGCCCTGGCTTCCATGCTCTGTGCAGCCTCCAATCCGCTAGGAGGAGCTTGAGAGAGGAATGGCCATAGGACTTGGGGTAGCAGGAGGACAGAATCAGGAGTAAATCAGCCCCGATTTTAGTGCTCTGGCTGCTCTCCAGCTCTGATCTGACTGAGCTAAATCCCTGGCCCATGTACTCCTTTGTTTTGATATAGGCTCTCGCTGTATAGTTCAGGCTGGCCTTGAACTCCCAGTGATCCTCTGGCCTCAGCCTCCCGAGTGCAGCTGGAATTATCGTCACTCTATAGATTTAGCTTTCTATGGTTCCATCCCACCTATGGCACATGACTTGAGGTTTGATGTTGTGCTTTCAGGAAATTAATGGAAATGAAGTGTGTCCCTCGCCCCCTCTCTTTCCCCCCTCCTCCCACACTCTTCCTTTTCCTCTTCCATCCCTTCCTCCTCCTCTTCCTGCTCCTCCTCCTCCTCCCCCTTCTTCTGGAGAAACGACACAGTTTCAACAGAGGCATGAAAGTGATAAAGTTCTCTTTGGACTTGTTCTCCAAATTGAGTCACTATGCAGTCTCCTGAAGTCCTGAGAAAAGGATGTGCACTGATAAACAGGTTTTAGTCAACAATCGATTGAGTATATGTTGGTGGTCCTATAAGACTGTAATGGAACTGGAAGATTCCAATTGCCTGGTGACACCGTAGCTGTCCTAAAGTCCACTGACATGTTTGTGGAGACACTGGTGTCAACAGACCTCTTGCACAGCCAGTGATATAAAAGTACAACACATATCATCATGTACAGTGCATCAGTCATTATTTATTATGATAATAAATGACTATGTTACTAGTTTATGTACTACACTGTACTTTTTGTCATTATTTCAGACAGTGCTTTTGCTACTGATATATTAATTTTTTAAAGTTAACCATAAAACAGCTGCAGGCAGGTCCCTCAGGAGGACTGAAGAACACAGCCATTGTTGCTACAGACTAGCAACAATGTTTTTTGTGTTTTTGGTTTTTTGCCCCTGAAGACTTTGCAGTGGGCAAAAGGCAGAGATTGAAAGCAGTGATCCTGACGACCCTGATACCATGTAGGCCAAGGCTAATGTGTGCATTTGTGTCTTAATTTTTAGTTAAAAAGTAAAATAAATAGAATGTTAAAGTTTGATGAAAGAAAAAATGTATACAATGAGAATATGAAAATATTTTTGCACAGCTGTAAAATGTATTTATGTTTTAGCCAAGTGTTGTTACAAGACTCAAAAAGTTAAAAAAAAATTAAGCCAGGTGTAGTGGCGCACGCCTGTAATCCCAGCACTCTGGGAGGCTGAGGCAGGGGGGTCCCAAATTTGAGCCCCTCCTAGGCAATTTAGTAACTTAGCAAGATGCTGTCTCAAAAAGTGGAAAAAAAAAAAAAGAGGGCTGGGCATGTGGCTTAGTGCAAAGGTCCTGGGTTCAATCCCCACAATTCCCCCAAAACCCCAAAGACTTATAAAGTAAAAATGTTACAGTAATTAAGATTCTTATTAAGACTTTTTAAAAATCCAAGCAGTGTAGCCTAAATGCACAGCGCTTATACGGCCCGCAGCCGCACGTAGTAACCCTCAGGCCTTCCCATCCCCTCCCCACTGATCACCCCCAGCAACTTCCGGTCCTGCGAGCCCCATCCACCCCCGCGTTCGTGTATACCGCGCCGTTTCCGTGTTCACACAGCTGTGTTACGGCGGCTTACAGAATCCAGTTCAGTACACACTGACACCGCGCGGGCTGTGGCCTGGAACAGTGGCCCAGTGTGCAGCCTCCGTGTGCAGCAGGCCCTGGTGCAAAGGTAGGTCAGGACGGAAGGCCGCCTCTGCCCTTGTCCCACCCGGCTGGCTGTTAAACGATGCACGACTGCGGGCCAAAAATAATGCTCCCGTGTGTCACAAAAACCCCAGCAGTCTTCCGTGACATCCTTCCTCACTCCAGATTCCTATCCTTCACTTCCACATTTTATCCATCTTATTATTTATTATTATTGTTGTTTCTTAACATCTGAAACATCTGCTCAGCACTTTCTTGATCTGACAGGTTCTGACCTAATCTGCTGTCTTCCTTTCACGGCAGCCAATGCCCAACATGGTTCCATCCCAACTTACTAATTAGTAGTCAGGATTTGCCTTACCATGAACAAAGCAGTGTTGCTGGATGCTTGACCCGGGATGGTGTCGACAGCGCGCTGTTTCTGGACTGGCTTGCTTTGTTTCCTTGTGGAATTCCTCGCTGTCCGGCCCTGGCCCAGTAAGGTTTGCTCCCTTTCCTCTACCTGCACACGTTTCCGCCCACAGAAGCACTTCCTGCTCTCTGCATGGTTGTCTGTAGCAATTGTTTCCACAACAAATGGGAGGGAGTGAAAGAGGCCAAGATTGCTCTCCTGCCCTAAGGTCCGAGGTCCCCCACCCCACCTCAACCTTCAAAGTCCTTTCTTTCCTTTCCTTTCTCCTTCTCTTCCTTCTTCTCCTCGTTCTTTCTCTTCCCTACCACTCTTGTTCAGAATTGTGTGTGTTACAGTGGTAAAGTGCGTGTGTTTGAAGTGCGTGTGTGATAAATTTATGTGTGTCACCACCTCTAGTGTGAAAATGTCCAACCCTCCAGAGCACTCAGAGGGATTTCTCCACCAGCCTCCAGAGGTAACTGACTTCTAGTCCTAGCAGTTCATTTTGCCTGTTGCTGACCATATTTTATATATTTCTTTATCTACTTAGAGCCTCATTTTTCTCATCAGGATTTTATAATTATTTTTTCAACTGCGTTTCTGGAAGGAAAGCCTGCAACAAGGACATCTCATGTCATCCCCCTAGTCTGCAAATGAAAAAGCTGCATCTGAGGGTTTAAGCTGCTCCAGTCACGTGGTTACCTGTTCACCTGGTAACAGGCAGAGCCTCGATTTGATCTCAGGTTCTGACTCCAAAGCCTGAGGTCTTTCCTCTGTAAACCAGCATCTCAACACACAGCTTTTGCTGCTCATGAACAGTATTTAACAGTTTTCTTTCTTTCTTTTCTTTTCTTCCTTCCTTCCTTTCTTTCTTTTGTGAATTATTAACAAAGTTTGAATGGTCTGTAGAGACCCTTTTGCATATTTAAGAAATATGCTTCTGTCACCTCCATCTGTTCCCACCTTGCTTCCCTTTCGTCCTGAGCCACCTGCCAGAGTCAGTTTCAACACGTGTGACATTGGCCTCAGATTTCCAGTACTTATGATCCACTTGCCCAACCTGGAGTGGGGGTCAATTTCCACACTTTCCAGAAGAGGGCAGTAGAGTCCACACTAAATTGCTTAAATATTGAACTAGGAAGTCAAAAGGCTCTGCCTAGAGACTTGAAAACTGGGTTTGTTGATTTATTGATTTTATATGTATTACTTATTATGAGCCTTACACATACTTATAGATTTTCATTAAATATTTTTCCTACACTTTGCATTCCTTGTTAGATCCTTATCTTTTTTTTTTTTTTTTTTTAAATTGTAACTCACCGAAGCCTCTGGGCAGAAGGGTCTGCTCCTACCTGCTCCTAGCTCTCAGAGTAGATGGGTGAGAACTCTGTTTTCTCCCCAGGAGAGTGATGACCCTGATAAGGAGCTGCCTGGGTGTGTTGAGGACTTACCTTGAAATGACAGGTGCCATCTGACTTCACTGCCACAGAAACTGCCTGCTACCTGCTTAGTATCAGGCAAGTCCCTCAGGGAATTTTCAAGGCAAGTTAAAAACTCAAAATAATAATAGCAAGCGTTTTCCATGCCAAGCACTTTTCAGGCACCCACAGAAGCAGTTATGGTTCACACACTGGTGTGCAGAGAGCCTGCTATTCCTGAGCAGGTAGGGACCATCTTCTGGAACCAGAGAAAACCCCATAGAGGCCGATGTCTGCATCTTTTTTTTTTTTAAATCAATTTTATTTGCACATTTTAGGTATACACTATGATGACATTCATCATTGGAAATTTGCACCTTTACATAATCTCTCTTGGTTCTTATTTTTTCCTCCTTCCCCTGCCCTCCATTCAACCCCTCCATCCTTCCCTATTTACAAAGACTTTGTTTCCATTTTTTCATTTTCTCATATTAATTCCATTCCCGTCTTTCCTTTCCTCTACCCCTCCCACTTCCTCTTTGCGCTTTTCTTCCTATTTCACATTATCTATTATACCTTTTAGTCCTTATTTACACTTTCACTTTCTCACACTAGAGAAACTATTTGGTATTTACACGTATGTCCTATTTACTTCACTTATGAGTATCTCTTCAATGTGCATCCATTTAGCTATAAATGTCTCTAATTTCTCATTTTTTATGGCGGAGTAGTACTCCATTTTATAAAAAACTCCACACTGCCTTTATTCAGTCTCCAGTTGATGGGCAATTGGGCTGCTTCCAAGCTTTAGCTATTACAAAATGTGCTGCTATGAACATGGGTGCACATATATCACTGTGGTGTGATTCTTTTAATTCTTTGGGGAAGATACCCAGCAGGGGAATAGCGGGGTCAAATGGGACTTCCAGTCCTAGTTCTTTGAGGTATCTCCATACTGATTTCCACAGTGGTTGCACCAGTGTAC